AAAGGGGACAAGAATGGCCCATCAACAATTATATTCCCTTCTTCATTTTTTTAACATTAATATAAACAAGTTTTAGGAAATATCAAGTGTCTGTGAGGATGTGGAGAAATGGCAGCTGTTGTTTGCTGCTGGCTGGAGTTAGATCAGAAGCCATTTGTAAAGCAGTTTGGCAATAACCATAGATCTGAAGAGTGCACGCAATGCTTATCAGGTTTCTCCTCCCTTAGGCAGATTGTATATTTTAGGAGAACCACCCCTGGGTCTAGGGGTAGGGCATGTGGCTCAGTACTAAATTCTATGTATAGAAATGCATAGGTAGAAATTCTTCTATCTGCCCATAGAGCAGCTATAGGACTTAAGGGGATCCCATTATACCAAAGTCAGCACTTTTATTCAATGTATTCCTCCTTGCTTTCTGTAAACTAGGAAGCAGGAATCCTGGGCAGACAATGGCAATCATTTTGGGACCACTAGGGGAAGAGCTTGCCAATGAGAGAGGCAATGCTGAGCAGCTGGTGCTGAGAAATGGAGAGAAAGCGATTCTTGGTCTTATCTTGTCACTATACGTAGCTTCCCCCAAAATTAGTTGTCTCTAGACTTCCATCATATGAACCAAAAACACTGTCCTTTGCTATTTAAGTCATTTTGAGTTTTTATTTGTCCTTGTAACTACAACCAACAGCACCCTAAAACAAGCAGGATTTAACTAGACACAAGGAAAAAAGGTCATTAACCCAGACCAGTGGGTTAAGAGGAATATTGTGTTATGCATGTATTTGCTCTGCTTTGAGTATGTTCTTCCATACCACCCTGTACTTTCCAAGTTTATCCATTTTCATACTTAATTGTTACTGCTCCTTTCCTACGTAAAATGTAGGTGCCATGTCTATCTTGGCCACCATTGTATACAGAGAGCCCAGTCCAGTGCCAGGCACATGGTAGGGACTTTATAAAAACTTGCTGAATCAGAGTTGAACGAAAAGCACAAAGCAGAGCTGGTAGGCAGGATCCAAACCAATAGCTGGCATAATCCACATAGAGCAGAATTTACTGGGCATCATGTTTAGTTCACAGGCCAAGAGGCAGGTTGTGAGGAAAGTACCAAGTGCAAAGTACCAAGAGGAAAACCACAGCTTAAGAATGCCATAGGAGAAAAGAGCTTGCAAGTTCATTCACGCATTTATTTATTCCAAAAGAAATGGAGATCAGGACTTACGTATGATGGCTCACGTACTAGGTGCCAGGATCTATCCTAAAGACTTTTTTGCTTCTTTTCATCCTCATGACATGTGATGTGATGGAAACTATCACCTAGTAAGTGCTTAATTTATTGAGTAATAGTAGTTGGATACATTAGTAAATCCAAATCCTGTATTCTTTTTACCCATCAAGTTACTTCCCATGAAGATTGATTGGATGCCTCCCATGAGACAGCAAAGCCAAGAGCAGTTGCCGAAGCAACGAGAATAACCCTGGCAGATGGCGCTCCATGGATGTGGAACACTTTTTTCAAACCTGGATGTGCAGGATGCTTTAAAGTCCCAGTGAACAAAGTTTACTCCTAACAAAGTTTAAATTAGGGAGAGAATGGTAAATCCAACCTATGTGGACAAAAGGAGACTTCTGCCTTGATTAATACAAAGAGTAAAGTTTTGCAAGATGGTAATAACAGACAAGGTCAGGACAGATGATGGACTCAATTAGAATATAAATTATTTATCTAATAGGAGCTAATAAATTTAATTTAAAAGGGGACTAGATATACCCAAAGAAGGAGGCTGTTCCACAGTCAGCTGCTTGAGAGTCTGTTCTGTGGCAGGAATGAGCAAGGAACCAATACAGCCTTAGGAGACTATGGAAGGAATGTACTAGAGTTAGCGACATTGCCACAGGCAATAGAACTTAATGGATAAGTGCGTGGATGGTAGAGTTAGACTTCTAGGTTATGATCCCATCTCCTCTACTCAGAGCAGCAGTGTAAATTTTGCAGAAGCCAACACAGAGGTCGGAACCGTAGTCATTGCTGTGAACAGTCTTTTCTACGACAAGAGAAGCACAGGCATGTGGACTGGAATTTGGGAGGAAGAGAGAAAGGGGCCAGTATTGAGAGCAAATAGGCCAAGGGATAGAACAATGGAGAAGAACAAAGGAAAGGACAATGTCTGAGAACAGAGGGAAGACGGCGTTTCTACAACAGGGAGCCAACAGAATCTAGCATTACTGCGAGGTCCAAGGAATTGAGGCTTGAGGCAGGATCTGGGGTAACACAGAGGCGGTTCAGGTACCGTGATGGGGGCAGAGATCCAACTATAGATGGTTAGAGCTGGCCAATTTAAGCCAGGTGTGGTATTTTCCCCTTTGCCTGTGAATGACCCAATAATGGTCATAGATCAGTGAGACACAGAGAAAAGCCTTCTGGGAAATTTTTCTCATTCTTAAATAAGAACTCAAAAAGCGACATTTATTCCCCTTTTCTAATTTTGCACATTGTTCCATGAGGATGTGATGTCTGGAATTACAATAATCACCTGTGCTCATTAAGAGACAAATACAAAAGCAAAAACTGAGACGCTGGAGATGGCAGGATCTCAAGGCTGGGGGGGTGGTCAATCCTGGAAGCATCCTACTGCCAGAAGTGCTTTAGGTAAGACAATGACATTTTCTTTTATTTATTTCATTGTTGATTGGTTCTTGGGCTACCTATGTCAAACATATACTAACCAGTATTTTGGTTAGGACTAAATCAGTGAAGACGTAAGGATTGCAGGCCACGTAGTAGGTGATCAAGAATGTTATCATCGTCATAACCACTATCATCATCATCGTGGAATCATGGATCTACTGACCCCAGACCAGTACTTTCTACTTCATTGCCTCCCTGATCTCAACAGAAAATTAAAATCTCCTTTCAGACTATGACACGATGTGTTCCGAGGAGTGGGATGATAGCCTGAGAAGGACAACAAGAGTGTTGTCTCTTTTAGAAATTGAGGCTGTGACAGAGATTTGATTATTGATGGCACTGGGTTGTGTCTTTTAGATAATGAGATATTTGCAGGGTAAAGTGAAACCTTTGGATAACAGGTGCCCTATACAAATACGGGTGTTACTAAGTGGATAATATTTAACAAACACTCCCTCCTTATCACAAGTAATTCAAAGCAATAGCATAGGATATTACAGTCCCTGGCAAGCAGCAGGTAGGGAGAGTGTGGAATCCTTACATTATTTCTAGTAATCGATAAATAGGGAGAGGTGCAGAGCCTCTCACCATCCTGCTTCCTGCTTTCATTCAGGTTGTTCAGAAAGATGAATGTTGCTTTAAGAAAGATAATGCCAATGTAAAGACTGTCTTCATCCTCCTAGAACCCAATAAAGAGAATCAAATCAGGTACGTGTGATGAAGACCTAGATGAAATGAGAGGCTATTTACTTGCCGTTGAATGACAACTAGAATGATAATAATAATAGCATCATGAAGAAGACGGAGTAGAAGAACAGGAACTTTTATTCCTCTGGTTTCCTCTTTATCTGTACGTTTCATATGTAATCTCTCTCTCTTTTTTAAATATATACTTTATTTATTTATTTATTTTGGCTGTGCTGCACAGCTTGTGGGATCTTCGTTCCCCGACCAGGGATCGAACCTGTGCCCCCTGCAGTGGAAGTGTGGAGCCCTAACCACTGGACCACCAGGGAATTCCCTATGATCTCTCTTTAAGTTTGATGTTCCAACAAGCCAGTGAAGTAGCCTCATTATCCACATTTAACAGATGAGGAAACTGCTGCTCAGAGAAGTTGACTTATATATCTGGGATCACAACCAAAAAGTACAGATGAAGGACTTAAAATCAGGTCCCTGAGTCCAAACACCATGTTGCTTTTGCTTAACCACATTGCCTTTCATTTCTTTCTCTCAAGGATGAGACTCTTGGGTGGTCAGAACTTAAGACTCGCAAATGACCTTCCTCCTACCCTTGGACATGTAAGCAGGTGCCTCTGTGAAGAGCTATGTTGTGTAGGATCCCAGAAGACCTGGCTCAGAGTTCTGACTAAATACTGTAAGTGCTTTGTGATCTAGGGAAAGCGTCTCTCTCTTAGCTTCTCTTTCTTTAGTTTTAAAAGCAAAGAGCCCTTACTAGATTGTCTCAGATTTATATTATAGTGTAATGATTTTCTTCTCTTCTGTTTTGTTTTATACCAATTGACCTCTATTTAAAAAAAAAAAGAAAGAAAGAAACTAACATGGAAAAACACTCCTGCTCACCTGTGCTATTTATACTCACCCTACATAGGTGTTTTCTTAATGTGCATAAATAAACAAAGGTACTTGTGAATGTCACTTTTGATACATACGTTGCCAGTTCTAATAGTACAGAATTGAACATTTTAGTCATAGGGACTTCTCTGAGTCACAAAGTGAGCATCACGTAAAAGCTGGCCAACAAACGCTCACACAAATCAAACTCATTCCAGAACCAAGTTGTTGGCTGATTGGATGCTATCCCACTCACTCTGTTCCAGACTCTCCTGGCTGTACAGCTCTTCTGGACAATGAAAGTGTGAGGATCATTCCTCTTGCCTCAGACTAGAAATCCAGCTAGACTTCTGACATCATTCCTTAAGACGAACTGGATTTCCTCCTGGCTTTGTGGCCCCAGAGTCCCTTCTTCCAAACACCTTTAACCCCAGACACTCAAGATCAATGTAGAACTTCTTCCTCCTCCTTAAATGGCCCTTTTTTTTTTTTTTTTGAATCTGGACGGCATCCATTCGTGTTACAAACCACACCTACTACTTTGTAGGCGCATGGGTTTCTCATTTACTCTTCAGAACAATCATGTCATGCAAGGAAGGATAGTCCCATTTCATAGAAAGGGAAATCGAGTGATTTGATCGCTTGTCAAAGCTGATGGTACTCCTGAGAGGTTAACCTAATGTCCTAGCCTACACGTCTCTGCTCTAACCCATCTCTACAAATTGTCTCAATGCACTCTTACCTTTGATGGCAACGTGATTTCTATGAAGGTTTGGATAAATTCACTTCTTTTCATGATCCATTAATGTTCTCTGCCTCAGTTTTCCCATCTATTAAAAAGACAAAAAGCAATAAGGTTGAGTTACCTTTGTTTGGTCTGTTGAAGTACTTTGAATTCTTCTGAATCAGCATGAATGCAAATTGCCTTGTTATTTCACTGTTTAATGGTATCTGCTTGGAAATGCAACTATTAGTACACAATACACGATAAGGCTTATAATTATGGATGACAGAAATTGCTTTTGTTTTGTTTTGTTTTGCCCTTACCACCTTCATCCCAGTTTACCTTCCTGAGTTATAGCTGCCTCTGTAGGGGTTAGCAAAACATATTTTAAAAATCTAAACAATAGGCTCCTTTCCCAAGGGTTTGGAAATTGATGAATCATCTTCCTCTGCTTGCAGCATTCAAGCTGTGTGTTTGACACATGGGCGGAAAAGTGGGCTCTTTGAAATGCGAGCTGAGTAGAGATCATGTCACCTGCCTGGCGCGTGACCTGTTCCACTCGCCACCTGACCCCCTGTGCCCGACGTCACCTGGAGCCTGAAATCTGGAAGCGGAAAGTCCTTGACTGGAGTCAGCGGAGAGAAAATCATCACCTGCTTGGGCACAAACATGCCTGGTGACTGCGTCACTGTTTGTTGAGTGGGATCAGCTAATAGTTGCACAGCGGGCCTTCAAAGCCCTATGGTGGGGCTGATGAAGTTTCTATAAATGCACTCCCTGTGTGAAGGCCTTGGACTTTGAATCTCAAGTACACTGGGAGCATTTTGAGCTTGCCGACAGGCTCTCTGGCGCACTCTATTTGGTTAAACTGCAGTGGAAAAGAACTGACTTCATTGCCACCACCCATTACCTGGATCCAGCCACACTCCTGCCTGAGGGCTTTTGCATGTGCTGTTCTCTCTGCCTGGGCAGGCTTCCCTCCTGGGTGCCAGCATGACTTGCTCCTGTGTTTCACTTAGTTATCTCCTTACAAATCACCTCCACAGCGACTTTCCAATTGCTCTCTTTCTCCTTACCCTGCTTTGTACTTCCTCATAACACCTGATTCTATTTTACATATTGATTTGATTAGTCCTCTGTGGTGTGGTTTGTTTCGCTGCAGAAGCCACGTTTTTGTCCACTGCTCTGTCCCCAGTGTCTGTAGTATACCTGATCCAGAGTAGACCCTCAAGAAATATTTCTTGAATAAATGAATAAATGAATGAGTGAAGGAACTATTTTCCCTCATTTTGCAAGTAGAAAAGCTGAAAAATAGAGAGGGAATAAACGAGTCGAGTTCGACAGCCACTTAGCGGCAGAGTTAGTATTAACACTTTGATAGCCTAACACACAATCCTGTTTTTTCTCTTCCATTTAACACTGTTCTCCAAATATTTGGCAACTAAGACATCCTTGAGTCACCATTTGTTTACCAGTCTTGAACCATTTTATGTCTATGGAGATAACTAGAACTTTATGAGGGATAAGTGCTTATTAACTCGGTTCTTACTGAATTTATCTGTCTTATAACTTTTCAAAGGCAAAGTTGACTGAAAGTTGCTTAAGCTACCTGCTAAATTTTAAAAACATTTTTAATATAAATGATTATGAGCATTTATCGTGTAAATGTGGATACACATAAGTAAAATAAGTATTGTGATCCCATATGGAAGTCATCTTTTAGGTATCATGTGTATTTAATACCCGAAATCATGCTGTATGCAAAGTTTTCTAACCTGTGTTTTGACATGTTCTGAATGTCACGAAATCTAACATCGGCTGAGGGGTTGCATATAGTCTGATATCTGGGTGCGCCATTATTTTACTGAACCTTTTTCCTATTATGTATCATTAAAGTTACTTCCATTTTTTATGTATTGGATTTGTAGGTTTTAGTCCTTTTTTTTAGCTATTGTATTAACATTTCCATACTTGTCAAAACTATGCAGAGAATAAGCTGCCCAAGTTCTTACTAAAAATGCCACAAATGATCTAAAAAATCCTGGGTTGGAAGCTCAAAACTCCTCTTCGAATCAATAAACACTGAAGATTTCATTCACATGCGCTTCCGGGCTCTGAGGCTTGATGTGGACCGTGGGAGCATGGGGGCAGTGGGGCTGGACACACTGGCCAGTTTGAGAGCAAATAGAGGCTTGGGGAGTGTATTTATGTTTCCGCCCTATGTGTGCAACTCTGGCCTTTGTAGCAAAGGAGACAAAAAGCCAGACTCTGCACCTTGATGACCTGGAACAAGTTGTACTGGGTCCGAGTCAGCATGACTCAGCCCAGAGTGAGACTCAGTAGTTCTGCAAAGTCTTGGCTTTGTCCTACCTCCCGTGACAGTGGGGAAGGGAAGGACCCCTAAGGGTCTGTCTATCTGAGAAAGCACCCTGTGCTCAAACAGACTGTGGCCAAACCTGGTGGGTTATTTCAGCCATAATTCTGGTTGATGATGGCCTAGCTGCGTACCCCCCATGCTTGGAAAGCTCCAGTCAATGCCACCTCTCCCTGTAGCCTTGCCTCAGCAGTAACTGCCACCGTTGACTGAGCATCTCCTCTGTGCCAGCGTGTCACGCCAGGTGCTTTCAATACGCTGTCTTTTTTCACCCTCAAAGAAGTCCTGAAGGCATTACTGACTGCGCTTTCCAGATAAAGACACAAGTTCAGAGAGGTGAAGGGAGCTGCCCAGAGTCACACAGAGCTGGGATTTACAGCTGGACTGTTGGACTTGAAGGCTTCTGCATTATGCACACCTCTGGTTCTGCAGAGTAGAAATCGTTGTTTATACTCAGTTCCCATGACTCTTAGGACAGGTGTCATGAGATACACTGCATTAGATGTATCCATTCAACAATAATCCCATTTAATGGCCACTTAGTGTGCATTTACTTTGCACCAGGATCTCTGATAGTTTCCACTGAGAGAGTTGAATAAAAGACTTTCTCTGTCCTAAAATGGAGGAAGGTAAACACAAAGGACAAGATTTTGGGCTATTTAAGCCTCCATCCTTAGGACCTAGAATACTATATTCACCACAGGAACTAGCTCATCATGGAAACTCAATAAATATTTGTGGAAGTAAAGAAGGAATGAAGGATGGGTGATACATCATAAAGCACTTAACACCTGGTCCGAAGAATTTACTTTGTATTTGTTGTGCAACCTTCGGGAGCTATGAGCCTGCCTCCTTATTTGTAAAAGTGGGGATAATTATCCTTGCCTGATTCCACTCAGTATTACCGTGGATCCAAGGGATCAGAGGCTCAGCTATGGGTGCTGGAGATACTAAAACATGTATCTCATCATCTTCAAAAGTATCAGGAACTACGATCGTGCAATCCCACTCCTAGGTATATATCCAGAGAAAACCATAATTTGAAAGGATACATGCACCGCAATGTTCACTGCAGCCTTATTTACAATAGCCAAGACATGGGAGCAACCTACATGTCCATCAACAGATGAATGGTTACAGATGTGGTACATATATACAATGGAATATTACTCAGCCATAAAAAAGAATGAAATAATGCTATTTGCAGCAACATGGATGGGCCTAGAGATTATCATACTAAGTGAAGTAAGTCAGACAGAGAAAGACAAATACCAGATGATATCACTTATATGTGGAATCAAAAAAATGATACAACTGAACTTATAGACAAAACAGAAATAGACCCACAGCCATGGAAAACAAACTTATGGTTACCAAAGGGGAAAGGGGGGAAGAGAAAATTAGGAGCTTGAGATTAACATATACACACTATTATATATAAAATGGATAACCAGGGCTTCCCTGGTGGTGCAGTGGTTGAGAGTCCGCCTGCCGATGCAGGGGACATGGGTTCGTGCCCCGGTCCGCGAAGATCCCACATGCCGCAGAGCGGCTGGGCCCGTGAGCCATGGCCGCTGGGCCTGCGCGTCCGGAGCCTGTGCTCCGCAATGGGAGAGGCCACAACAGTGAGAGGCCCGTGTACCGCAAAAAAAAAAAAAAAAAAAAAAAGGATAACCAACAAGAATCTGCTGTATAGTACAAGGAACTCTACTCAATATTTTGTAATAACCTATAAGGGAAAAGAATCTGAAAAAAATAGATATATATGTATGTATAACTGAATCACTTTGCTGTACACCTGAAACTAGCACAGCACAGTAAATCAACTGTACTTCAATAAAAATAAATTTAAATAAACAACAAAGTATCAGGAACTATAATAATTGTTGGTCAATTAACTTACCAACATTTATTGTGTGCCATATGCCAGGTGTTGGACTAAGGGCTTTACAATCGCTGTACATGTGTCCTTTCAATGACAACATTGGATTGATATAAACAGTTCAGGTGGCATGCCTGAGACGGTACAGCGAGCCATGGCAGAAGTAGGGTCAGACCCCCAGCTGCCCAATGCTAATGTCCTGGCTCTCACGGCTGCTCAGTCATTGGTCACAGTGGCTTCACGAGAAAGTCGTCCCACCAGAAACATCTCTCTAAGAAGAGAAAATAAGCACTGGTTCTGACAATACCCACTGAGTTAGAATCAGCCACAGGAAGTCAATTCACTCACCAGAAGTCAACCCCAGGATGCAGAGCTTTGCAAACCCAGGAGTCTTTGTTACCCTCAGATCTTCATCTTCCAAATCCTCTCAGTTCAGAATCCAAAGCCATCTTGCTTCAGCTCTGTCTGCTCTGTCTATGCCTCTTCATATTTGCTGGGGAGTAGGCGAGGAGGGAAGGATTTATGCATAATGTGTATGAAATTCAACTGAGGTGCCCAGGGCATTTGGGGAGAGTGGTGGAATCCTGAGGTTTTTGTATAGAAGCGACTTCCTGCCTCAGCTCTTTTCAGGCGCCCGTCCTTTCTTCTTAAACCTTTGCAGTTCCCTCTTGCGTCTCTGCTCCTGTGTCTCTCTGCTTTGGCTCTCATTTCACATCACTGCTCGAGTGGCCTTTGTTGGACCAGTTGAGCCTCTTTACCTTCCTTTATAATGTGGCCTTTATAATACAAGGGAGAGTCTCAGAGCTCCCAGATTTCATCTCTTGCTCTTAAACTCACCCTCACCCCAGCTCATTCTTGCATGCCGAAGCCTCATGATGGTCCTTGAAATTTCCACCGCCGTTTGCAGGTCCCTCTGTGCATCCTGTTATCCGGGTCTGGACTCCACTTTTTCCCCTATTTTTCTTGGCGATCTGCTATTTCTTCAGGGTCAAGCTCAGGCAACAGGCTTTTGTGTAGGGCATTCTAAGTGGTATTACCTTGCTTCCTCTTCTGTGCTCTTGTGGTACAAGGTACCTAAGTCAATTCTGACACGTCTCCCATTTTGCTATTGCTATTTCTGTATGTCCCTGTTCTTCCTGCTGGGCCATGAACTCTGTAAGGACAGGGATGATGTCACATTCATTTTTATATACTTGTTACCTAGCACATAGCTTGATATATAGCAGGTGCTCAATACACACCTACCAAGTTTAATTGAATGGAGAGCCTCAGGCATGAAGAGTAACTGGCAAAAATTGTATAAAACTTGGGAAAGAATTTGAAGAGTCTCCAGTGCTTATTAAAGAGTAAAGAATAATATTTTAAAAAATTATAGTCTTCATGTTGGCTTTTAAAAGATAAAGTTTGGGGTACTGAAATACTCAAAACAAAACAAACAACCAAAAAAATGCACATGAAAATTTTTATTTTTAGGCTCCCTCTAGGACTTTCCGAGAAGTCAGGTTCTATTTATGTATTTAATTAACCTCTGTCCCCAGTGGTTTCTTATGATGACTTTCTGTTTGAAGAGTTTATAACAGTGAATAGTCCTGAAACTGTGACTGATGTTGGCTTAGTTAGATTGATTTCCCAGTTCTCCAGGTTTACCATTAAGGTTGTATTTCTTCATTAGGTTTCCTGCCATCACCTCCTCAGTTCCTCTGCTTCCAGGTCCAGCCACCTTCTTGGCTCCTTGTCACACCACCAAAAAGATAAGGAAAGGAAAGGGAAGAGGTAGTGGAAAAGAAGAAAAAAGAGAAGGAAGAAGGGTTGTGATACTTCTGAATCGCCTTTACAATTCACAACAACCTGTTTTTTATTGTCGATATCCGTTGCTTGCTTGACCTAGCACTAGGTGACATAAATGAGGTAGGGGTACCTAGGTCATGCAAACCTTCATGCATGTGGAGATTCTGGAGGGATGAGATGAATAATGTATGCAACATTCTTTGGTTATGAAAGAACCATACTTAAGAACGCACCCATTTTTTCCCTGTAAGGTCCATTTACCTGGTTATGGTAATGGACCTACACTGTTGGCAAACTTGGAGCATAATTTCCATCTTGGGCCACACAGCCCCTATAGAATTTTTAGGTTTTATTGGCTCTTTTATATTATTCCCTGCAGACTCACAGACTTAGAGAACGAACTTATGGTTACCGGGGGGACGGGTGGGGGGAAGGGATAGTTAGGGAGTTTGGGACCGACATGTACACACTGCTATATTGAAAAAGGATAACCAACAAGGACCTACTGTACAGCCCAGGGAACTCTGCCCAATGTTATGTGGCAGCCTGGATGGGAGGGGAGTCTGGGAGCAGAATGGATACATGTATATGTATGGCTGAGTCGCTTTGCTGTGCACCTGAAACTATCACAACATTGTGAATTGGCTATACTCCAATATAAAATAAAGAGTTTAAAAAATTTTTTTCATTTTCAAGCTTTACTCAAGAGCTTAAAAAAAATCTTCATTAGCAATCTATTAAACTTTTCATCTGTAATCATTTTTCCTGTTTTGCTTTTCCTCCTGCACTCCCCACATACATATTAAGTCTGATATGATGACCTGACCATTACTCCTTCTGGGAGCTGACGTATGATCACGAAGACTCTTCAGCCTGATGTCTTATCTCCTCAACTGCCTTCCTTTTCTCATAGGTTTGCTGTTCGTATCCCCAAAGAAACAGAGGGACATTTTCTACACTTTGCTGTCATTTTTCTTCTTGCATCTTATCACGAGCTTATCATGGCCAACATGGCATCTTGGAAAAGTGGTCCTCTGTAGAAAGGGTGACACTTCATGATTGAATGGAATCTACCCTGAGAGATGGTGCTAATCAGACTAATCCTTTTGCAGTCTTTTTTTTTTTTTAATTTCATGTCATTCTCTTTCCATGTCCCTACTCACTCCACCTCTGGCCTCTTCTTGGTCATTTCAAAACAATCTTCTAAAAATCAACTCTGAGCCTCATTAAAGGAAGGGTCCCCTCTTATTCATCTCTGAACCTACAGATCAGAGATTGCTTCCCATTAACTGAATTTGCTTTGGTTTAGTCTATCTTCTCCTTTGTCACCTGGACCATAAATGTGCCACAGTTGGGCTGCCAGGGATCAGGTTTTGGAATCAGATTAGGGCATAAACAATAGGTTCCTCCTTCCGAGGCATGTTATTTGTACATAGTGAAGTCAGAAGAATCAGTGCTTGAAGGATATGTAGAGATGCTTTTATCCAAGATCTATTGATATAAAATTATATACAATTAGGTGTAGACAAGTATGGTAAATGTGATCAGGTAGGCATGAGACCCCAGAATCCGGCAGGATCAGATCTAAGGTGAGTACAAGCATAAGAAAAGTGGGACAGGAGGAAAAACAGACAGAAATCTCCTTATTCCATAATAACTGAGACAATTTCACAAGTGGCCCCAAAGCGTATATATCTCATCATCCATCCATTCCACTCATCCTTCCTTACATCTACCCATTCAATTAGTATTGATTGGGAGCCCATTACAAGCCATCAATGAAGCCATGTGCTGTAGCTATCAAAATGTAGAATATAGATGTTGTTCCTGACCTTGGTGAGTTTATAATTTGCTCAGAAGTGAAAGGATATAGACAAGTTCAGCAATACTCAATTCCAAAAAAGTCCATTAATTCTGCCCCTCCCCCCACCAAAAGACAAGTAGGTACATTTGGATATTCAATGAAGTCAGATATTTGGTAAAAACAACAAAAGAAACAAAAGAGGGGGGTAGTGAACAATGAAAATTTCTGCTGATTCATTGGGATGGATTAAGGTATGGTGAAGTTCCTCGGATTTCTTTCTTTGTAAATCTGCCCCCTTGCTCTGATTTTTAGCAAAGAAAAACAAAAATTCCAGGATGAAGTTTAACAGCCGAATGGGTGGAATCAAGCACTACTGGGAGTCTGACTTTTCCCAAAACCTAGAATTTTAAGTAGCTGAACAAGAAACCCCACCGCGTTACAGTATTTTCCCTTTCTCCGAAGGACATTTCATGACTGTTGCTTGGTTCTGAATTCTTTGGATTAAACATTTCTGGATCTCACCATGGTTGTTGAATATAGGCAAACACGTAGCTTACGATTTTAAATTCCATTTCAAAGATTCCCCTGGCAGACTTTTGACAACCCATAAAATGCAGTGTTGCAAATGTGTTACCTCTCTTTTAGACCAAAAACACTTATATGGTACATTTCATCTAATGAGGCATATTAAGGAGAAATATATGCCTTCTATAGGAGGGTGAAGGGAAAAAATGAAAGAAAAAAGAGGGAGTGTTAGAAGGAAGTTAGAAAACCTTAATCATTTTACAGCTGAAAGCTTGTACCATGTTGCCAACCTCTCCCTATCGCCCTATAATAGAGTGTTTATATATATATATATATATATATAAAATCCATTTATTTTATCCATTCATCCATTGGCACTTAGGTTGTTTCCATATCTTGGCTATTGTGAATAATGCTTCAACGAGCTTGGGAATGCAGATACCTCTGTGCGATCCTATTTTTGTTTCTTTAATAAACCTTCAAGGTGATTCTGACGGTTCAGACTAATATCGTCAATAGAAATATGTGAGACGTAAATTTTTAATAGCTATATTTTAAAAAATAAAAACAGGTGAAATTAATTTTAATAGTCTACTTTAACCCATATATCCAAAACGTTATCATTTCAACATAGAATTAATACAAACAATTACTAATGAATATTTTACATTTTGTACTCAATCTTTGAAATCTGGCATGCATTTAATGCTTACAGCACAGCTAAAGTGAAATACAGTCCTACCAAAACAATAAAGTTCTGTATAGTGGCAAAAATATTTTACACTGCCTTAGTTTTTAAATTTAAATGAGTTAAAAATAAACAATTTTAGTTTATCACTTACACTAACTGCATTGCAAGTGCTCAATGGTCACAGGTGGCACGTGGCGACCATACTGCACGGCAGGTGCAGACACTCATTGCCCACAAGTTCCAAACTCATTAGTTTTCGGGAATTCCCTGGCAGTCCAATGGTTAGGACTCGGCCTTTTCACTGCTGTGGGCCTGGGTTCGACCCCTGGTGGGGGAACTAAGATCCCGCAAGTCTCAAGGTGTGGCCCAAAACAAAACAAACTCATTAGTTTTTTACTTTTGATTGTTACTCAGGCAACTAAGTCGGAAATTATCATAAGGGGCTGCCCTTTCAACCCCAGGCATTTACCTGGCAAACTATCATAATTCTGCACAACCCAGATCAGTGATGTTTTATTTCCTTGACCACCATCCCAGAATCTGCGCCCTCCTCTCCATAATAGGTATGAATACTTTGCTTGGGGCTACCTTTCCACCTGATTTACACTGACATGATTATAACAGATGCTAATACATGTCAACTAGTTATGAGCCCCTTTGAAGCTGCCAGGGCTGAACCTCATTC